ATAGCATTGTCACTCAGCACAAATAGTTTCCTACTGCCCAGATTTGCAGTGGGGTGTCTGAAGTTGTCCTAATTAACACTGGAGAAAATTCCTGGAGGCCCCTGTTGTTTCAATAACATGTTTTGCCTCTGACCCACATTTCTCCTATGATAGTTGTAACAAAAACCATTTTGAAAACATGCAGGGGGCAGGCAGGGGATGTAGCTCAGTGGTTGAGCACTTACTTTGCATGCGTGAGACTGTGGACTCGAGCCTCAGCACCACAAATAAATAAATAAGTAAATAAAGATATGTGTCAGTCTACAACTAAAAAGAAAAAGAAAAAGAAAAACATTTTAAAACCAAAACATGCAGAACTGAGGCTGTAGCTCAGTGGCAGAGCACTTGCCTAGCATGTGTGGTGCACTGAGTTCAATCCTTAGCACCACATAAAAATAAATAAAGGCATTCTGTCCATCTACAACTACAAAAAAAAATGAAAAAAATAAAAACATGCAGGGCTAGGATTGTGGCTCAGTGATAGAGTGCTTACCTAGTATGAGTGAGACACTGGGTGTGATTCTCAGCACCACATATAAATAGAAATGTTTGTTTCTTATGTACTGGAACTCTGCAGTTGGAACCATATTCGTATGCTCACATATATAGTTATTTTTTCTTAGTTAATGGTTTGCCTCTGCAGCTATCCATCATTCTCCCCAATATCATTAGCTCTTTTAGTCAAGTTTCCCCTCTGAATCCTCCAACTAATTTGTGGCAGAAAGTCAGTATTGTTTTTTGCATTGAACTGAATAACCTCAATTTCTTAAAATAACTAAATTCCAAATATATTATTATTACTTTATCCTTTGTAACCACTGGGTTCCTTGTGCACTCCCTTGTTAACTTGTACCCAAGCAGTAATGAGAACGCTACGGAATTCTCCTTTACCACAGTAACTGTTGCTTTGGGTCTTTTGTTGAAAACCAAAGGTTTACAGGTGATTGGTCGTGGTGCCTAGAGCAGTAGGATCCCACTGCTTTAGAATCCTCATTAAAAAGATCATCAGAAGTTGAGCTATTCTCACTCAAGGAAAACCTGGTTGCCTTTGGACTTGACTGTTCCATAATGACTGGCTTTCTTTGGAATATTCTCTGTGATACTATGTGGCAAATTGGATTTCTCATTGCTAGTGTGGGAGTTTCAAAGCCAAATGTTACCTTCTCTATTGCTCCAGTATTAGCCAACTTGGATGAAATCTTCAGTGGAAAAAGTTTTCTGTTTCTGGTCAATATATGTATTTTCACAGAGAATTCTGTGACACTTAAAATGTGCACCCTTCACAGAGTGCTTGGTCTAGCTAATGGACTCTGAGGGTGCATGGTAATCTTGACCCACAAAAAATGAGGACTTGTTCCTCATTTAGATCTTTTGACCTAAAACTTGAAGACTGCTATGAACCTTATGAAAAACTGAACTATTTCAATGATTTTAGATGGCTGAGACCCAATAGAAACATTTTAAATATGATCACTCAAAATAAGAGGCACCATCCTAAGAAGCATGACAGTTGCATAAACAATGGTGTAGCTAAGGTCCCAAGGTGTAGATGTGAAGAGCAAGAGGAGTATGTCCAGTGGCAAAGAGCAGGCTCAGAGTCAGGTACAAATCACAGCCATGGTGCCTCTTGGTAATGTGACCTTAGACAAGTTACTCTGCATTTCTGAGTTTCAGGTTTTGCAGCTCTCAAATGCAAATGAAAATGTTATATTAAGGAAAAAATGAAATATTAATACATGTATAATGCCTAGCACAACTATAATATGGAACTAGAACGTAGCAAATGTTCAGTGCATGGGAGTTATTGTCTACTGTCTTCTGTAAGATGAGGTCATTTCTGATAAACAGAAAGAAAAAAAGGAGCATTACCCACTGTTCTTAATATAACTTATCATTCTATGTTAATTTACTATCATTTTATCTACCCACACTCTCCTTGGTTGTTGAATAGGAGGCAGCAGTGGAGCACCAGTAAGAGGGGGAGCACCTCACTTTCCCTCCCATTAGAGATTAAACAGTGTGGTTGAGACCTTTTAAAGTAGGTCTAATATCAAACTAGGAGCTAGAAATCAAACACATTCCTACCAGGATAAGCTACTTTAATGAGAGATCTTCCAAGGCTACCCAGATCTCTTTATGTAAAGCACCAGCTTATTTTTTGACATGATTAACTTTATGAAAACGACCAAGTCCTCATTTTTGTGGGTCAAGATTACCATGCACCCTCAGAGTCCATTAGCTGGATCAAGCACTCTGTAAAGGGTGCAAATTTTAAGTGCTTTCTATTCTCACAACCTTATTCTTCATCTTCCCAACACTGGATACTGCCATTAAAATTTCCTCATACTCTAGATGAGAAAACCGAGATCAAAGGAGTCACTTGCCCAAAATTGAGCTGTGGAAGAATGAAAAGCAACAACGGGGGTTGCATCAGCTCAGTTTTACCAGTTGTTTGTTTTTTAGTGCCAGTTTGTCAAAATAATTTGGAATGTCTTTATTACAATAACAGTATTTCTTAGCAGGACTCAGGGTCCCAGAGTAGCACCATCAGCACCAGGTCCAGTCACCTCCTGGGAGAAGGCAGTGGAAATTTTATGGGTGGGATTTATAACCAATAGAAGCCTTGGGCAAAGTAATTCAGAATAAGAATAAAAGGGAATCAGAAAACATAGTGTACTTAGACTTGCAAAATACCTTTGAAAAGGTTACTGTTGGATTTTTCTGAGATGGGGGAATACTTTGATCTTGATGCTTAAGCAAAAGAAACAATGCCAGAATGTAAGGGCATTTCTGTGGGTCGTATAAATAATGCTGCCTGCAAGTAATCAGCACTGGGACCATACTTACTTAGCATATTTATAAATCATCTGAAAGGAGTACATAGTGAAATTTCCAGATTTGAAAAAAAAAAAAAAAAAACCTGCTAAGCTCTTCCAGGTAGTCAAATGCCAAGCTGGTTAATATAAATGCAGAAAGACAATGCAGGGATACGTGAGTGGGCTGAAGGATGGCAGATGGGCTTCTGCGTGGACAACTGTAAAATAAGGAATTTAAGAAGAAATAATTCAAACCATTTCCCAACATTAAAGGGTCTTGAACTATCAGCTATTCCAAAATTAAGAGATTTTAGAGTTAATGTACGCCTTTCCCCTAGTTACTCCTACTGCAGCTGAAGAGCCAGACAGAAATTAGGTGTACTTAGAAAAGACATTTTTAAAGTGGGCATGGAAGGCAGAAAGCGGCCTTCTGCTCAAACATACAGCCATTGGTCCACTTATGCCTGTGATATTGTACATCACGTTTTCAACTAATCTTAAAGAGTTGTAATAGGGTGGGAGATGGCCCACAGAAAGTCAACTAAAATGATCTGCGGGAAAGAGGAGCTGCTTTGGGGAAACAAATTTGCAAAGATTAGGATTTATCAAATCATAGAAATAAGGTAGATGTAGCCATTTACCTTGGTTAAGAGGCAGGAGACAGAGGGTGGGTGGAAAAGGCAAAAGGCAGAGTGCTGTTTAAAAGCTAAACCAATTTAGTTGGAAAGGCTGACAAGAAGGCAAATAAAATTCAAGGTAGCACAGGATACGGTAAAGAATTGCCTATCCCTGCACCTTAAAACTTATAAAGAAGGGGAAAAATTACACATTCAGCAATTTGGAACTTGGAAACCATTTACCCAACAAGAGTTGTTATATACCAGGACCTGGGTAGGAAAAGGGTAAATACCTTTTTTATGAGTGGATTTACAATATGTTGTTTAAAAACTCAGTTATATTTAGAGATCTGCCCAAACTTTGCAGTATATACTTTTGAGAAAAATAAGTTTTATAATCAGACAAACTTGATTCAGACAGAGCCAGCATGTACTAGTTCTTGGGTGAGCAACTTAACAACTCTGTGCCACAGTTTCCTCATCTGCAAAGTGACAAGACATCTTCTAAATAGAGATGCTGGGAGGTTGAGAGGGGTAGTATTTGTAAAGCACCAGAACAAACTGGAGATGGAGGCTCCCTGCAGTTCTCAGTTCCCTTGACGTCTCCTGGACAGGTGCCTTTGCAGTCAGACTAAAAATCTTGTCCCAGAGAGACTCAGTCAAGTAGACAGTGTTCGATTCTAACTCTAGTGTTGCTGCCTCCATCTTTATTAATATCCATTCTTTCCTATTCATTGAGCTGTTCTTTTGAGCATTGCTTTAGGTTTGGGGAAAGAATAAGGATAAGCATATCCTAATGCCCTGCTCTCAGGGAGCACACATTGGGAGGGTATGCACTAAGCCTGTAAGTAAAGTTATTTCAAAGAATGAAACAAGAAGGTCATAGGGTAGAATATGCTGGGGGCTGGGGGTGAAGCTCTTTGGTGGGCCAGCAGGGAAAGTCCTTTCTGTGGAGACATGTTTGAGCAATGGGAGGATGAGATGTCTCTGGTTATCCCAAAAGCATTCTAGGCAGATGGATGGGCAGGGCTGGAAGCTCCAAGGTGAGAATGAATATGGGGTATTCAAGGCATGGTTTCTCAGGCCTGCATAACAGAGATCCTGAGTGGAGAGGGGGAGGCAAGGACTTGGATAGAGACAGAGGGAACCAGACCCAATGGCTTTGAGGCCAGGTGAGGGCTCAGATTTTATTCCAAGGGCAATAGGAGGCCATTGAAAAGTTTTCAGCTGGTTAGTGATAAGAGTTTGTATTTCTGAAGGGTCTCAAGGCTGCTGTGTAGAACGGGACTCTGGACGGCAGGAGTCCAAGGAGAACCCTCACTGCTTCTTCTTTCCACCCAGACCTGCTGGCTGCCACTCCTTCCTTCCTTTCTGGACCCGAGTGTCCCTCTGCCTTCACACTCCATCCTTCACAGGGGAAGAGGGTTAACTTTGCACAAATCTTTTTGCACTCCTCATGTTTTAAGACATATAAAAATGATTTCTTTTTCTCAAATGAAATAGTTAACCCAAATGCATGTTGTTTCAGGTTTTAAAAATCAATTTGATTGGCCACAGGAAACGCATTTTGGCATCTCTGGGAGACAGGCTGCACGACGATCCTCCACAGAAGCCCCCTCGGTCCATCACCCTCAGGGTAAGTGCCGCCATGTTCTTTTTGTTCTCTTCCCCTCCTCCCAATAATTATTTTGTGCAATAAAATGACTGAAGCAATAGATCAAGAAATATAGGCTGTTTTCTACGTAGCTTATCTGTATAAAAAACAATCTGCCTTTAAAACAGGATTTGTCTTTCTCAGTTACTTAAATATATGTTTTAGAGATTTAGACATTTATCTCTAATGGAATTCAGGCTGACGAACCATACCTCTAAAGAACCACACCTGTATCCCACATTCCCATCTACACCCAGAGAGAGGAAATGAGTTTTCTGTGAGACTCCTCAAGCCCACAGAAAGGAAATCGATTAAGGACCACAGTTAAGTAAAGATCAATTTAAATTTAACCTCAGGGTCTTCTGTTTTCAAGAAGTGAAAATCGGCCATTTTTACTCACTTCAAAAATTAAGAATAGAGCATCCAAAACGTTATTTCATAAATCATATGTCTCCCTTTCAGCTACGTTTTAGAGTTATGGGGTAGAAAACCCAGAGAGAAACCCAGAAGGTAAAGTGGAAGGGCAAGGAGGACAAGAAGGAAGGGGTAGAGAGAGATGATTCCAAGCAAATGGCCGAGGCAGGGAGTCGCCGCCAGCTGCTGGTTTCATGAACCCTACAGATCGTTTCTAAAATTCATCAAAAAGCCAAGATCTCTCTGGCAAGTGCGAGAGTCCCCACTTGATTCTCTGTGTTCAGTCTGGCACTTGCTCGCTTCTGATTCCCTTCCTGCAGGTATCAGAAAAAGTAGCCATAACAAGCTGAACAGAAGCGTGGCCCTTAGACATAACGGCCCGTGTGAACCGCCTCTTATCATGAACTGCAGCGAGCGGCAAGCAAGTGGCAAGGCGGCCGAGGGTCAGGCAGGGCAGGAGCCGTTAAGATGTTAAGTGTGACTGTGCTTTGAAGAAGAAGAAAACACAGTTTTCAGGGGATGCAAGAGAATTGTCTTCAGGAGGGAGCCAGGAGGAAAAGCCATCACTTGGGGAGCTGGGATACACTTCTTAAGGACTTGGGAACAGTGAAAGTAGAAATAGGACTCATCTTTCCCCCTCCAGAAGAGGAGCCTCCTGTAAACTGGGTAGAGGGTGATGAAGCTAGAAAGGGCTTATCCACCCGCCCTGCCCTCCGTTTGCTACATGGAAGGGGAGGAAGCCATAGGCACCATCAGTGTGGTCATGCTGAACTCCTAGCTACACACTCTGCTCCCTGGCCTTTTCCTTTTAGCCTCTTGCTCCGACTCCCCAGAATAGACTTAAGGGAACAGCAAACTGATCAAAGACAGAGATTCCCAAGCAAAAGTTTAGGACCTAAATCTGTGCAGGGAGGTCCATAACATGTCAGGGAGAAGTGGTCTACAGATTAGGCATGATCCCAGTCCTCTTCTTACCTGCCAACGCTAGAGCCCAGCCTACTGCCTCCCCTTGCCTTACACCTGGCCAGTTTCCAGCTTGAGTTGTCTTTGCCATTGGAAAGTATCCTCTGTCATATATGCATTGCTCTGCAGTCTGTATGTCGCGTGACATGCTGTGTTGCCATTGTGTCCTCTTCCCGGTCCTGTTGTCAGACCACTCTTTGGTGGAGGATCAAAACCCATTGGGTCCCATTTTAGCTTCTTATCATGGCACCTACCATGGTGAAGACACACTCCTGCAGTTCCCTTGTAAACACATGTGATAGTGTGCCGGGTGCCTAGCAGAGGTGGGCCTCCCTCCTGAGGTCATCCCTGGTGCTGGTTTAAGAAAACAGAGCCTTATTCTTTGTACTTTAAGCTTTTGACCGGAAATACTAGTGAGGGGTAATATTGACTTGATAATGCCATTAATAAAATAAACAGTGAAATATCATCCATTCCTTTCAGTTGATTTGAAAAACGACTCCCCACCCCCCACAGTTTGTCTTGTCAGTATTTCGAAGTTTTGAAACCAAAGGTGAGCCACAAAAACATGGTATTTATTTCATGATGTATTTCCATTCAGGAACCCAGTGGTAATCACACTCCTCCTCAGTTGTCTCCATCACTTAGCCAAAGCACTTACACCACTGGTGGCTCCCTAGACGTTCCTCACATTATCATGCAGGGCGATGCAAGGAGGAGAAGAAATGAAAACTACTTTGATGATATTCCCCGATCAAAACTGGAGAGGCAGATGGCCCAGGTAAGGTGTTCAAAAGCCTCTGTGATGTTTTGCTTTCACCTGTACCAGGTAATGCACTCAAATATTGAACAGTAGCTTATAACTGGAATTTTACCATTTTATAAAGTGTCCTTCATTCCCTGCTCTCTTGAACTAGCCTGGAACAGAGTTTTCAAAGAGAGGAATGTAATATACATATCATTGTTATTCATTCCTACTGAACAAATCATGCCTGATGTCATTGCACCCCCAAGTCTTTGCTCTAAAGGGAATAATAGTGTGTCAGAATCCAGTCATCATAAAAATAGGTAATAAAACTCTAAATTTTAAAATGTTGGTTGGTCGGATAATAGGGCAGAAGTTGGAGAGGGGACTAACTCCATATAATGTTAATTTCCTCCCAAGCTGACATATTTTTTTTAGACTTGTGCTACTGGGACTAGTGGCCTTATCTCCGTCACCTTGAATAGTTGATATTGATAGTGCTGCCTGACACAGAAGATTGAAATGAGGGCTCTGTCACTTTTAGACCTTTCCTCAGAAGATTCAGTAGCCATAGCTAAACAGTGGTTCTGTTCTGAAGGTACATTAGAGGGTTAGCTAGCTTTGCAGCTTTGCCCTGCGATTCAATGATCTGATGTATTGACAATTATTGGCAGAACCAACTCTTTTCATCCTCATTCTAAGTTCAAAATGATGTGCTAAGAGTCTCTTTCTGCCTCCCACACCTGAGATGAGAATCTCGAGGTGAAAATTTGACTGTAATTGCTTTGCCTTGGTTGTTAAAGATTTTTCTCAACTGTTTGGTGAGATTCTGTTTTTAAAAAGCTTTTGATAAACATTCCGCACTGCAGCTCACAAAAGAAAAATGTGAAGAGAATGTTCTAGAAACCATGGCTATTCTGCCTGTAAATGCCTTGGAGAGAGAGGAACTGGAATACTGTCTCCTTTCCACTCTCAATATTGAATCATTCTCAGGGAGTGGCATTGTTGGGATTATGGATGATTTTTTATTGAAGGGAGATGGAAAATATAGGACAAATAAGAAAAGAATAATTTTCCCAATCTCTGTTGTTATGTATTGTCTTTAAATCTTTATTATGTTTTCAATGAAGTTTCTTTTAAATAAGGAGTAGGAAAGCTTTCCCCCCAGGCTATTCGTTCTTTTTCTGCTATTTGTTAGTATTTGTGGATCACATACATGGTTCAGTATCTTCAGTGACAGCATTTCAGGGACTCAGCTTATTTTAACCTTGAACCATATTGTCTTCATGTATTAGTTCAAACCTGGACTTTCCTAAGCCCTCGTCTTCCCTGGGGAAAGCAGTATAGTTGTTTAATGAGCATTAGCTATTATTGACTGTGTCAGCTTCAGTGACAGAATTACCTGTCTCAGCTGCTCCTATAATTTATGAAGTTACTCCACATAGGGCAGTTTTTTTTTCCAAAGAAGAATTAATTATTCTTCTGCCTGTGTCTGAACACACAGAGATAATCTATCAGGATTGCTCCTTTAATTTCTTCCAGAGGTTCCCAAGCAGGGACAGGGGTACTTTCTGAACAGCCCAAATCTTAGTCCTAACACTGCAATCAGAAATGCATCCCTTTTAGCAGTTGTCTTACCTTCAGAAAATTGAATGAACTTTCATCTGCCCAGGTAAAAAAAGAAAAAAGCGGAGTGAGATAAGCAGGTTGATGTGATGCAGTGAGGTGTGTCGCAGCTGCATGTGTGCTTGTTGTTGACGGAGTCAGCTAACTAGGGTCGAATGACTGATGCAGACATGGGCTCCATCAGCAACCAAGAGCTTATTAGAAGCTTTCTAAAATCCTGCAGTTCAATACAGCACTTTAGCTGCAGAGGAAATAGGAGATGGCACTACAGGAATCTGATCAATAAGAAAAAAGGATTCTGGGATCTTTAGATTGTGTTAATTGCCGTTTTTAAATTTGTTTTGAGAATGTCCTTACTCTGAAAAAGCAAAAAACCCATGGAGAAATGAATTTATCCCTCTTAAAAACAGTGTCGTTTCAAAGCTTTAACCTGTCAAAACATGGAACACTCGGTCATTTTGTTGTTGAACAGCTGTATTCATGTGACTTTTCTACCTTGCAAGCACTCAGTTGATGTTTTTTTCTTATTTTCTTTATTCTTCTAATAATTTTTTAAATCATTTGCTTTTTAATCATCTGAAATATTGGCTCTAGACCATGTTTTTCCCTGGAGTTATATGTTAAACCAAAAAAGTTGTGTCTTCCTAAAGACCTGAATTAGCAATTAAAATCCCCATAAGCATGCAGCTCCCTAGTTATACCTCCTCCCAACCAGAGCTGTGTCTGTGGCTTCTCTCCAGGGGTTGCTCCCAAGAGGCTTACTGTAGCTTAGTTAATGCTTGCCTAATCCACCTCTATTTCCCACTAAAATGCAGAAGTCCACCTTCAGGCTTGCTTTCTTACCTGCTAAAAGAAAGAAGAACTCAGTTAAGAGAAAAATCACCAGGACAGATTGATGTTCTTGGAAACCTTCCGCTTCTGCAGGTTCAGCTGAGCTTGCCCTGGAGTGGTTTGGAATTCTAGAACCCCTCAGCTCCTGGTGGGGGTGGTAACCCACAGGAGTTTTGCCTTATGAAGGTCTACTTCCAGATGTTTGGGGGTGCTTTACTTAAGTGAGAAAACAATGCTGAAAGTTCATCAATTTAATGTCCATTCTACCTGTTAAGTTTATTTGTTAGCAAATACTTAAAATGTTTTCCCCTATTCATTCATGATAATTATTATTCAGTGTTGTTTAACTGCTTGTTTTTAGTATGAACCAATATTTAAAATACCTGTGTTGGAATACAGGAGATTTGCTAATGTTTGACTGTCATCTGCTTTTGTTCTGGTATAAGCAATATTCAGGAGTTGTCTTAAGAAACAAAACTGAGCTCAGTGCTAGTACCATATTTTCAACCACTGCATGTAATGATGTAGGCCTATCTGAACAATAGGCTTTCTACTATGCTGAAAACATAGCTTCTCTGGCCTATAATTCTAAGTTGGTCTCATTAGCCTAAAAGGTTCTGAGGTGCTTCCCCATTTCCCTACCCTAATAAGTGAATATTGCACTCATATTTATATAATTATACCTTAATGTGCATAGTGCTTTTAAATTTCTAGAGTATTTTGACATCTGTTTATCTCATTTTAGCATGAACAAGGTGTCTTCCACACTGTTGATGTGCACTTAGCACATGGCAGACGAGCATTTAACTCTGAGTTCTGTGGAAATGAGATAGTAAATATAAATATGGGAAAGACACCAGAAGGAAGAAACTATTTTCACTATTTAGAGCCTAATTGCAATCCTTAGAAGTTTTCCTCAATGATGAGAAGTCAAAGGACTCTTCCAATGAATAAAGGAGGGTGACGGAATTAATAAGGTTTAGGGACCACATTCTCCTCCAACTGATGAAAGAAGGAAACATAGTTTTCAAATGCTGAAGCTTATGACTATTGATAGAAGACTTTGATTTATGGAAATACATATGTAAAAGTGAAATAGTATGTGTATTTTCACAAAGTAGAAAAAACTCCTCAACAATAAGAGAAATACTTACCTTTTTATAAACTTTAGCTTAAATATTAGTGAAAAAATCCATAACGTCCAAGTTCTTCTGTTTTGAATGCTCTCATTGAGATACCCACAATATTGCCTGGGGCAGTATTTCAGGCCTGTTTAAGGCTTTTTCCAAATTGTGTCTAAATCATTAGAAAGTCAATGCAGTTGGCAGTCTAATATTTCTTCATCTAAACAGTAGCACTTAATAAGTATGACTGGATCAATTACTTAGTTATTTGAAAGCACTTTACATATATTAGTTCTACAAATGTTCATTCTTTTGATATTATTAAAGGAAGAGAACCATGTGGAAGTGCTGCTATGGCCAGGTCCCTGCCTGGAATTCCACACACAGTGTCTTATTTAATCCTCACAACAGCCCGTGAGGAAGCCGAAGTGGGTGAGTGCTGTGCCTCACAGCAGGTAAATAGTAACTGTGTGACCTGGACCAAGTCGTGTGGTGTCTCCGAACTTCAGTTTTTTTTGTCTTTGAAATGTGGATGAGGCCTGCTTCTCAGGTGTGTGTATATCAGATAATGTATGTGAAATCATAATTAAGCTGCAAAGTGATGGACAGATGGGTAGGAAGGTAGGTAAATGACTATAAATTCTAACATACCATCTGTGGGTCCCTAATTCAAAGATCCTTGACTCATTGCAAGAACAATTAATGCCAAAAGCAAGTGGTCGGATGGCTGTAGCATTCTATAAAGACCATCTTTTTATTCTAGTGTTATCCATGCTTAGAATGTATATTAAGAGTGGAATTGGAATATTCCTTTTGATTATCTTAATTGTGTAAATACAAAGTCCACAATACAGCATACATCATGATACAGAGGGATCAGCACCAAATACCCTCAAAGCCAGGGATAGCATAGGATAGAAGGAATCCTCCGTCAATTCAAGTTACACAAGTATGTCACAAAAGATACTTTATGTTAATAACATGCTACTACTATAACATGGTTACATAAGACAGTGAGAGGAGAGGAATTTTGCCTTAAATAAAACTTAGAACTTTTTAAAAATACATAGTACACAAAATAGGTAGCTAGAGAAGTATGAATATTCCAGAAAGCCTTGAGGCAAACACCTATCTCTATCTGGAAAGTGAAAAGATTGTAATTTATCCTACTCTATTGGTCCTGAGGAAAAAGGCCTGTTTTTCCTCAAAATTCTACCCATCACTCTGGCATTATGGGAATTTACAGAATGAACCTTCAGAAAATAATTTTCAACAGCTAGGTTGAAAGGAACAGCATTTAATAAAGTGATTTCCCCCTGAAACTCAACAAGTTTTCTTATTACTATTAACAGCAGAAAATTTTTCAAGTCTGTAAGTTAGTGGCTAGTTTTTAATTTAGATCTTCATCACATAGCTGCCACTTGGAAAGCCTCAGCCTGTCCAAGATTTCCAAATTTTCCTCCATGAAGGTCTAAAGAGCAACTCCTAATATTTAAGCACAGACAGATAAAATATAACCAAAAAAGAAGGTGAAGAATCAACCCAGTAAGCTCTTCCATCAGGAATTTCCAACTTGACAGCTTGTCAATTAACAAGCTGATACCCCACCCCAGGGACCATTGGAAATGTGGGTAATATCTTGCCCTGTTTCAAGTCAAGAACTCTAGACCAAAGGCCACCCATGACCAAAGGCATCACACCAAGCAGAAGTGGAAGAGGTGCCCTCGTACTTGGAGCTTAGACCTGAAGTCTGCACACCTTGTTAATTCACATGGTTAGTTCATTGCCTCTTCTCAAAATGCATCCTGCCCTCACTGTGACCATGTAGGGATTAGGAAGTTCAGTACAATTAGTGTATTATAAATCTTGTACATCACCCTTAAATAAATAATCAGAAGAAATGAGAAAGCTGCTCGAATGGATTCTTCTTAGGTTTTGATACTCATCTTCCAAGTCTGGATTCTTCTGTTTTCTGTCAAGTCCCCCAAGGAAGCAAATGAGATGACTGGGATTTGTCCTGACAGATCCCAGTCGGACCTAAACAGCTCAAGTTCTTCTGCTAGGAAAGCTCTGATGTTGCCACCGTCCATCCAAGTGCTGGGGCTTGATCCAGGTGACTGCTTCCAATTAAAACATGACTGTGTGTGTGTGTGTGTGTGTGTGTGTGTGTGTGTGTGTGTGTGTGTGTGAATCAATACAAGAGAGTCTATCTTCAACTGAATAAATAAGAAAGATGACAATATATGAAAGCCTATTTCAGTGGACTTGACCTTGTGATTTTTAGCAGTGCCTTAGGCCTGCTGACATTGAGCAGCTTGTTCTCAAAGAAGCACACCAGGCCATTTTTCTGCTTGTTAAGTTTTTTGAAAGTTCTTCATTACATTCAGTCCAGTTCTTGAGTCCACAGGTCAGAGTTTTGACTGTTATGATCTGACCTTGCTAAATTTTAAAGGGTAGAAGAATTCTTTTATTCTCCTTCTCCCTCTTCCTGTTCTTTTTCCAGTGTTGAAGAGGTTTTTTAATGTCTAAAGGAAATAGGGCTGATTGTGCAGTTCTGCCTCCATTAATTCTTTTGGTATATGACTGAAATAAGATATTAGTAAGGACTCTATCTCCAGATGGCTTAAGCAGAGAGAGTATCACTTCTCTGCAACATCCCTGTGGTCTGGGCACTGGGCATTCCCATGCTGCCTTGCTCTCCGCCTTCCCTGACTCAGCTCTGGGCTCCTGTGTATACTCTTCCCAAACAGCCTTTCTCTGCATGTGGGGAGATTCAAGCCCAGTTACTGCTAAGCTTGAACCTGCAAGAAAGACAGCTTACCTGTCCAATAGCTCCCTCAAAGAACCCCAGGACTGTGTCCTTTCAGTTGAGATCAACCTTGTTTGGATCACTGATCCATCCCTGACCTAATGGGGTAGGAGGTTAGGGGGTTAGGGGGTTAGGGGCAGTCAGGTTGCTGATACCAGAAGTGGGGCTAGTTTCTAAGCAGACAGAAATAGCAATTGTGGGCAACTGAATAAACTCACTTTGACTTTACAATTATAACAATGTCTAATAGAAAATTGTTCTGTCACATGGGTATTGGTTTCATTTTTTCATATTTAATTTGATGAACTTTTAAGAATGCCCAGACTTGAAGTAATGAGATCAGGGTTAAAAATCTCATCTCTGGTATCTATTACCTCTGTAACCTTGAACAAGCCCCTTAGCTACTCCAAGCTTCAGTTCGTGTTTCTCTCTCTCTCTCTCTCTCTCTCTCTCTCTCTCTCTCTCTCTCTCTCATGTTTTTTAAAATTTTTATTTATGATTTAATGTTTTATTAGTACAACATAGTTATATAGTTCCCTCTTCTTAAGGCACAATTTTTGCCAACTATGAAGCCATACATTTGAGTTATTTTTAAGAATTATTATTTTGAGGTAACTTCTAGGTTTCTCCTACATTATGCCTTTTGAACTACAACTGAAAATAAATGCATTTAAAGTAAAAAATCATATGTTTTACAAAACCATTCTATTTTCTAGCTTGTAATCCTAAACTAATATCTCTCCATGTGGAAACAGTAGTTCTTATGAATGCAAACAATGTCCAGGAAGTTCCTATCCATACTAATTAGCCTTGGAGCTCTTTGGGAAAGGATTTATGATTTATATCCACACTTGATATTTTTACAATGTAAAGCATCTTTTAGAATTAGTGTATCTGAAAATGTATAATTATATTTTATTTAAGAATATTTGCATTCTATTTTGGTAGAAATGTATATTGGCTACATTGAGGCAAGACCTAACATTTCCTGAGTCATTTTTTATTCCCCTATAATGAGCACTCCATAATGTTTTTCAACCAGATTCCTTTTTATTAGGTAATAGGTACTATAAAACTACAGGGTTCTAGAACATGACAAATTAAACACAATCTGGGAGGTTCTCAAATATTTTAGGGAAATAACTGCCTGGAACAATGGCATATTCCCTAACTAGCTTAGCACTGGTAGTTCATTACTGTCATCCTCAGACCAAGCACTAGTTAGTAGAAACTTCGAATGAGGAAAGTGAGTCACAAAGACTTTATGTTGCTTGCCCAAAGCAAGAGCATAGGTATGGGGTCAGGATCAAACCCCAAAAGGTTCCCATGCAATATTTTGAGTTCCTAAAAGAAAATTCTATTAATAATATCTAATATCTTATGTAAATGCAAAATTAGCAGAGAGTGAACCTTCAAGGTAGAACAGATAAGCATTGTATTTGAAGAAAATCCTTAGCTCCTGACATCCAATGTTTCAATCTTTAAAAGTCAGAGATAACAAACAATTGCTTCATGTAAACCTTTGTGAAGTAACGTGACGCCCTTTCTACACAGATCTCTATTTTAATGAGCTTTGAATTCGGAATCACAACAATTGCAGTAACTTACATTTATACTTGTTATTGGCTAGATTCTTGTGTTCTTCTGTTAAAAGAAAAGCAGAGAATTTTAGGGGGGGTGAAGGGACCTGAAAACATATGTAGTACTGTCTCTGAATTGATGTAAGCCCCTTTCTATCCTCAACAGGCAGCCACACATTTCTGCTTCAGCTTGTCACTAGAAAGTTGGTTCCTCTCTTTTTGAGGCTGTCCCCTCATTGGAAAGTTCTAATTAATACAATTTGTGTCTTATATTGAAATGAAATAAGTAAGTCTTTCTAGAACTCTCCTGCATAGTTAATGTAATCTGAAACAACAAGGAATAAATGTGCTCCCTTTTGCTGAGAATAGCCCTTTAAAACCAAAAACATTGTGGTATCTTAGTCTCTCTGCATATTAGACATATCAGTTTCTTTTCAATATTATCCTGATAAGTGGGAGCATCCTGATTCCTCAACTCTGGGTATATTTGCTTTGTTGATGTTGATGCTGAACAACATTAGCGTATTATTTAATTCTTGCACAGCTGTTCTTTATGAAAATTTCCCAGCCTTTATGAATGGCCATGAACCATGTTTTTCTTCCCAACCCTCAACAATGTTGGATTTACATTTACATTGTTCCTTTTGAAATAAAACAGTTTCATCAAGTTGTTCGTCTAGTGATCCTAAGACCTTTTTAGACCATAGTTGTCCCTCAGTATATCTGTGATCCTTCCCAGCTATGTACATGCCATTTATAAAACTTACCTTTAAACATTGTACCTCTCAAGTGGCCCTCCCATGCATTGAGTGAAGCTTCAAATAAGGTAGAGCTTAGGAGAAACTCTGTAGGTTTCTAGCAGAGACCTTTTAGATTGACATCATTCAAAATGATTGTTCAGCTACACTTGTTTTTCTGTATTTTTCTCACAAGGATAAAACAAGGAAATAGTGGGACCTCAGTAAACATCACTGAATGAATGGCTTTGTCTAATCCCTCTTTTTAACCAGAAGCAAGAAACAAATGTTAAACATACAGTTAATAAATGTGCTTAAGTAAAGAAAATGACAGCCTTGATTTGTAAGAAAAGAGCATAATATATATTTCAAAGAGATGTTATGGGAAAAAAACATTACTTTGCAAAAATCTAGTTTCTTTGTAGCAATTCATATTATAATAAAGTGCTGATCACTGCTTTTCTAAATAAGTTATTAATATTTCTGCTTTTGACTGGTCCTTTTAAACATGTCTGAATCAGTAGTGATGGCATCCAAACTCTGAAGCAGAACAAGTAAAATGGCCCATGTGGCTATAAACAGTATGATCCCAATTGTCTTAAATTCCCTGCAGTACCTGAAGACAGTGAACTCTAGTATGTACACACAACCTTCTCTTTTTCCCCCCTCTGCTCTATTTTTTTCCTGTGAAGAGATTTCATAAATAATTGTGTAATGCCACTTAAGGGTACAACTGTCATGCTAGGGAGTACAGGTTATAGATTCTCCCGACAAATGGAAAGCCAAACTGCTGTCAGTCAGTAGTTTTCTGTACTGGGGCAGCTGAGGGCTTATTTTAAGTGCTATCAAAACCAGAATCAGAGTTAACAAGCAAAGGGAGGGAAGAAGAGGGGTGTGGAGAGGAAGAAGGAGGGGAAAGGGTACAGAAAAAGACCTTAAACTTGAGCTGCTGTGTTGGAATATATATCATGCCAGTGGGCTTATAATAGGAACCAATATGCCTTTGATTTCTCCCTCTTTGGGATTAATTCTGACACCAGCAATCATGGGTCATACATGCAGATGTTGTTGGAACTGCTATTGGCCTGACTATTCCCTTCCAGCAGGTACTTACTGATCCATCCTGGAATCTTCTCGACAGACATAGGGGGAAGGTCCCAAGTTTGGAAGGACTGCTCTTCAGAATGGTGGGGAAAGGACAGGAAGCAGCATTTTCTTGGGTCTCTCTAGTGTTCTCTGCAAATAAAACAGCTCACCTCTTCTACAGGGGGCCACTAGTGCATTGCTCTCTTTCACTCTTTAGAACTGGAAATAGACACAGACACTGAACTTGGGAAGCTGACAGTGCAGCTGAAGAATCTAAATCTCATATAGCTAGTTGTTGGAGGGCAGCATGTTCGTCTCCAAACTCACTTGAAAGGGGAGAAGCAGAACCATTCAGTCTACAGGTGGGACAGAGGAAATAATCTGATCACACTCTGCCCTGTGGCCTCTGGGTTACCCAGAAGAAACAAAAGGTCTGATTTTCTGAATTCCAAGCAGGATTCAGTTGGTGCCTCTGGAAGAAGCAGCCGAGAGGCCCTCACTGCTGGGAGGAAGTGTGCATCCAAGGTGTTTGGTGCACTGTTGTCTGACTGTGCTGAATTTGTTTGACTCTATCTTTTGACAGTTCTCATTTCATCTAAGTGTCTGCCCAAGGAGCCGCTGTGTTTGCTGGCTACTGGCCGAGGCGTCCTCTGTTGGAGCACCCTTTTTTCTTCTGCCTTTGAAGCTGTTTTGTTTGCTTTTCAAGTCTGTTTTGGTTTTATTTTAGAAGCACTGTCATCCGAGAGAAGGCAGGGGCTTCATTATTCCTTTAGCTCTCATTCTGAACCTTTCATATTTCTTGTTGAATTCCTTCTGGTCAATTTCTCAACACCCTGAGGTGGTGAAAGTATTATGACAAACAGGAGAGAAACAGAGGAAAAGTCTCTTTTTTTTTTCCCAGGGCTATAACAAGGCGGAAAATTTCATCTCTGATAGAATCTGACTGGAGGCCTCTATTCATAAAAATTTCTTTATTAAACTAGCTACACAACAGCCACAGACTCCCGGAAGGTGTCCAGAGCCTAATTGGTATGGTTCAGTAGATGGAGCTGTCATTAGCTTCCTCAATTGGGAGACCCACCATCAGACTCTCAATCCTGACTCTGACAATGGAGAAAGGATCAAGTCCATAGCACCTCCTATTCTATGAACATGGATTAAGTGCAAGGCTTGTCCCTACTCACTTTGTGACCCACACCTTGCCTTGTGTAGATGACCAGTAACTCTCTTTGGAGGTTTGTCAGGGGGCCATGGAGATAGGTTCTTATGCTCTAAACTTTTTTCAAGATTTATCCTTGTGCTTGAAGAACAGTCCTTTGACAATGTGGAAAGCACAGCCTTGGTTCGAACATAAGATGCTGGGGAAATAAATAAATTTTTAAAAAGATGCTGGGGGGCTCCAGGAAGGCTTCTCTGAGAAGGTGACATTGAAGCAGAGCATGCAGGGCATGAGGGAGCTAACCCAGAGTGTGGGCAGGAAGGAGGGGCAAAGGCAGCTGCTTTGAAGCAAGAGTGTGCAGTGTGCGTGGCCATCAGTTACAGAGTAAGCTGGAGGAAGGGCCAGAGGAGATGAGGAGGGCAGCAAGGAAGCCAGAGGCTGGAGGACCTTGCAGGCCACTGTAAGGACTTTGAATTTCCTTCTCAGTTAAATGGAGCTGAGTGGCACAATCTGGTTTTCATTTTAAATGGGTCGTTTTTGCTCTTATATTGAGAATAGACACTAAGGGA